AACATAAGTTGGATCTTTATTTCTCATGGTCTCAGTTTAGATCCAATGTAAAAATAAGATTTATAAACCAAATAGGCATTTTCAAATTTCTGAGTACTACCAAACTTTAAGATGCCTTATTCATTCAACAAATATTCCTGAGCAACTATCTGTGACTTGGCCCTGGAAGCATCAAGAGAGCAAAGTAGATGCAGCCCCTGTCCTCTTGGAGCTTACAATCTAGCTGGGACAGACATTGATAACAATCACACATCTGGGTGGTGCCTGTGCCTCAAAGGGGTAGGGCATCGGCCCTATATGCCAAAGGTGGTGGGTTCAAACCCAGCCCCGGCCAAAAACTGCAAAAAAAAAAAAAAAACACACATCTGTGTAAGTGCTCAAAGTCTTGGACAGAATAGGAGGCTTTGGCCTGCTGACAAAGGTGAGAGAGTTTTATGGAGGGAGTACTGACAGAGCTTTTCTTTTTTTCTTTCTAGAGACAGGGTCTCAATTCTGTTGCTCAAACTAAAGTGCAGTGGTGTGATCACAGCTCACCACAGCCTAGAAGTCTTTGGCTCAAGAGATCCTCTTGACTCAGCCTTCTAAGAAGCTGGAACCATAGGCATGTGCCTGTAGCTCAGTGGGTAGAGCACCAACCACATACACGGAGGCTGGAGGTTCAAACCCGGCCCAGGCCTGCTAAACCAACAATGACAACCACAACAAAATAAAATAAAAATGGCCGGGTGTTGTGGCAGGCACCTGTAATCTCAGTTATTTGGGAGGCTGAGGCAAGAGAATCGCTTGAGCTCAAGAGTTTGAGGTTGCTGTGAGCTGTGGTGCCACAGAATCCCTTCAGCCAAAGAGTTTGAAGTTGCTGTGAGCTGTCATGTCATGTCACAGCACTCTACAGAGGGTGTATACTCTCCGTGTATGTGGTCGGTGCCCTACCCACTGAGCTATGGGCGCTGTCCAAGTACAGAGGATTTTTGTAACTAATGTTCATATAGTATAGCAGCCTCTAAGAACTCTGAGCTCTACGTAGTCTCAATAACTCTAACAATAACCCTGAGAAGTAGGTACATATTATTTTCATTTTGCAAATGAGAATACTGGCTCAGAGAGGGTAAGCAATTTGCCCAAGGTTTCCCAACTTCTGAATAACAGAGCCAAGGTAAGCAAAGTTCTTTATATATATTGAAGATACAGTAACATAAAGTAAGATTCTGTCTCCAAAAAAAACCCCCAAAACCACAATTACTACCACTATCTGAAAATGTCACTGTCATGATCTTTCATGTTAGTACTGTTTAATGTCAGTACTATGTAGTAGTCCTACCTATGGATGAACCACAAACTTAACTAAGTTCATCTTTGAACTTTTAGGTTACTCTCAATTTTCGAAATATATTCTTTCAAAATATACACAATTTTCAAAATGAACAACATTGTGACTAATACCCCCAATATGCATCTTTGCTCATTTAATAAATTATTTCCTTAGGATAAAATTTTAAAAGGAAGTTGGGTTAAAAAGTATACATTGTGAGCACTTTCCTTACCAACTGCCAACCTGTCCTTCAGAAAATTTTATCAATTTAAACTTTTTGACATGCCTGTACTGCAGTTTATATATCTTTCTCATGTTTGCCAAGATAAACCATGAAGAATGGCTTTTTGTTTTAATTCACATTTCTTTAAAATTTTGTTTGTTTGTTAGTCATTTCTATTTCCTCCTTTTGTTAATGTCCTTTTCTTTCTTCTTGGGATTAAAAATTATGAATGAGAAATTTTAAATATACAGAAAGGCAGAAAGAATGATAAACATAAATGCCTCTATATCCCACTTAGGTTCATTAGTAAACATTTTGGTTTTATTATTTTATCCTCCATCCACATACACACAAACACACATACAAATTATTTCTGATACACAATGTTTCTTCGGCTAACCACTGTATTTTATAGACATTGTGACACTTCTAAATACTTAAGAGTACATCTGGAAAAATAAGAACACGTAAAAACAATAAGGACACGATGATCACATCTTATAAAAATAATGATTATTCGGACAGGCATGGTGGCTCGCGCCTGTAATCCTGGCACTCTGGGAGACCAAGGCAGGTGGATGGCTTGAGCTCATGAGTTCAAGACCGGCCTGAGCAAAATGGAGACCCCTGTCTGTACTAAAAATAGAAAGACTGAGGCAAGGGTGGCTCCAGTGGCTCAGTGGGTAAGGAGCCAGCCCTGTATAACAAGGGTGGCAGGTTTGAACCTGGCCTTGGCCAAACTACAACAAAAAATAGCCAGGTGTTGTGGCAGGCGCCTGTCATCCCAGCTACTCGAGAGGCTGAGGCAAGATAATCACCTATGCCCAGGATTTGGAGATTGTTGTGAGCTACGATGCCATGGCAGTCTACCCAGGGCAACAGCTTGAGACTCTGCCTCAAAAACAACAAAAAATTATTATTATTATTAGTAGTAGTATTCCTTAATATCATCTAATATCTAATCTACAAGGCCAGACAGTCATTCACTAAGTTCACAAACTCATTCTAGAAAAAGTGCTACATACTACATACCTTGCTGCTGAATATCACTGTGGGTCACCTTCGAATACTCCCCTTCAGAAACTATGCCCTGATGCCAACACCTAGTCCACCCTTCAAAGCAATTTTGGAACTCTTTTTTTGGAATAGCTATCAGAGCTGTCATTGTATGAGGTCTAATAATTAAGTCTGTGAACTCAACCTAGAAAAAATGCTACATACCTCATTGCTGAATATCACTACAGTCACTAGATGGACAAGGGAAGTACTCTGAAGGTGACTATAGTGACAACAGCTCTGATGGTCATTCTAGAAAAAGAGTTCCAAAATTACTCTGAAGGGTGGACTAGGCTGCTTGGTGAAGTACTTCCCAAAGGGAGTACTTCAAAGGTGACTGTAATTCAGTAATGAGATACGTAGCACTTTCTCTAGTATGGGTTCACGAACTTAACTGTCCAACTTTGTACTGCTTTTATCTTAGTCTATTCTGTTTTAGTATATATCTTTTTGTATTATATGAAGGACTCCAACAGTTTCCTAAAACTTTCTTTTGGATTTTTCTGTTAGTAATTTTTAGAGGTATTAGTCTGAGTTTCAAGATGAGTCTTTTTATGTGTTACATTATCATTATTAGTAATAGTATCGTTGTTTTAGATTTTCAATACTGAAGAAGAGAAGACATGCCCAGATTTCACATTTACCAATAGTGTGACAGTAAAGGTTACTTGTTAGGCACCGCTGTGAACTAGAAGCCTTTAGCCATATTCTTCTAAGGTAGAAGTCCTAGCAAACATCTTAATTCTAGGGCCTCAAGAATTGTTTGAAAATCTCAAAACTCAAAACAAAACTCAAAAAAGTTAAAAAATAACAACATTTCATGGATAGGAAGATGGTGTGAAAAAAATATAAGAAATAAAATTTCTATCAACTGGTTACTAATTATGAACTCTAGAAATATCTACATTCAACATGGGAGAAATGTAAGAAATGTCTTCTTTTTCTTGACACAGGGTCTCAAGCCATCACCCTGGGTAGAGAGCCGTGGCATCACAGCTCACAGCAACCTAAAACTCTTGGACTTAAGCGATTCTCTTGCCTTAGCCTCCCAAGTAGCTGGGACTACAGGCACCCACCATGGTACCTGACTATTTTTTTGTTGTAGTTGTCATTGTTGTCTTAGCCAGCCTGGGCTGGGTTTGAACCGACCACCCTGGGTGTATGTGGCCGGTGCTCTACCCACAGAGCTACAGGTGCTGCCTGTAGCTCAGTGGGTAGGGCATTTTAAGGTAATAAACTTTATCCCCATAAAAACAAAATGCAATTTAAATCTTGACACATCATTATTCTACTAACAATTCAAAATTAATTTGGCCAGAGGAAGAATAGTTCATAGTGTATAAGTATGCAAGGGCAAAATACTTTAGTGCTGGATAGTTATACAATCAAAATATTCAAATATATTTCTAAATTGAAGCAGAGAGTTAATTTTTTGAAGAAATGCAAAAGAGATTTTGAATATCCAACTTAAATCTATCATTAATAAAATGCTTAAAGATTTATCTCAAGACTCAGTGCCCACAGCACAGTAGTTATGGTGCCAGCCACATATATTAAGGGTGGCAGGTTTGAATCCAGCCTGGGCCAGCTAAACAACTGCAACAACAACAACAACTACAGCTGGGTGTTGGGGTGGGCGCCTATAGTCCCAGCTACTTGGGAGGCTGAAGCAAGAGAATCACTTGAGCCCAGGAGTTTGAGGTTGTTGTGAGCTGTGACGTCACAGTACTCTATCGAGGGTGACACAATGAGACTCTGTCTCAAAAAGAAAAAAAAAAAAAAAAGGTTTGTCTCATGAAGTTAACATCATGTAATTACCCACCAATTTGTTTCTGATATAAATCAGTAATTTTCTTAGGGTATACTACATTGGTTTCTTCACAAACAAAATACAGTGGGGTTTTACCCCATTCCATCTGGCAAGGTAAAATACTTTGATATAGGAGGTAGAAAATAGTAATGATCCTTTTTTTTTTTTTTGAGACAGTCTCACTATGTTGTCACTATGTCACCCTCGGTAGAGTGCTGTGGCGTCACAGTTCACAACAACCTCAAAAACTCTTGGGCTTAAGCAAGTCTCTTGCCTCAGCCTCCCAAGTAGCTGGGAGTATAGGCACCTACCACAACACCCAGCAATTTTGTTGTTGTAGTTGTCGTTTTGTTTGTTGGGCCTGGGCCAGGTTTGAACCCACCAGCTCTGGTGTATGTGGCTGGCTCCCTAGCCTGAGCTACAGGCGCCAAACTGATCATTTTGTTTTGATATGCACAAACTAGTCTGAAAACCAGTCTACACTCCCACCCCTGGATGAGAAGAAGATAGAGTGCTAACCATAGTACTACACAGAAAATCAGAGGAATAGGACAACCATCCACAGAAAGCAAAGGGCACCAGAACATGTGGTTCTGACTTACCACATTCTCCAAAGGTGCTGCACCAAACACTTTAAAGACAGGGTTGGGTTTAGAGGGTGAGATACAGAGGACAATAGCTTGCTGTCCAACTCGAGTAGTATATTCATCTAATGTGGCTCGAAGTTTCCTGAATCAAAGAATATGAAGAGAACAAAAAGCAGTTTAAAAAAGAGAAATTACAGTGACACAGACACAAATGAAATTTACTTTGCTTGAGACAATTTATTCTAATTAGATATGCTGTCCTTTACCTGGAATGTAAAAAGACATATATGAGGTTAGTGTCCACTGAGGATTTTGCCTGGGGACATAGCCATAGTTCAAACAATTTTGCAGTTTGGCTGGGGCCAGGTTTGAACCCGCCACCCTCGGTATGTGGGGCCAGCACCCTACCCACTGAGCCACAGGCGCCACCCCAGTTCAAACAATTTTGAACTTACCATCCTTCCTAATGTCAGCAACACCAATTACTGCTACTTATAAATATTACAGCTAACACATCCTCTTACAGGATCTTTACTACATTTTGGTAAATTTTACAATATTTTCAATTTTATTATTACTATTAGGTCTGTTACAATGATCTTTGATCAGTGATCTTTGACGTTACTAATGTAATTCTTTTGGTGTGCCAAAATAATTGTTTTTGTTCTTTTAATTTTTCTTTTATTTGTATTTTACTTATTCACTTATTTTAATTTCAGGCTTTGTTTGTTTGTTTGTTTTGCAGTGTTTGGCCAGGGCTGAGCTTGAACCCGCCACCTCTGGCATATGGGGTTGACGCCCTACTCCTTTGAGCCATAGGTGCCGCCCCAAAATAATTGTTGATTGCTACAATAACCTCCTAATTAGTCTCCCTGCTTCCATTCTTGTACACCTAGACTCTGTTCTTAACATAGTAGACTGAGTGATTCTTTAAACACATAAGTCACATTATATCACTACTCTGATCAAAAGCCTTTATTTACTGGCTCAGCGCCTACAGCTCAGTGGCCAGGGCGACAGCCACATATACCAGAACTGGTGGGTTCAAATCCAGCCCAGGCCTGCCAAACAATGACAACTACAACTGAAAAATAGCTGGGCGTTGTGGCGGGCACCTGTAATCTCAGCTACTTGGGAGGCTAAGGCAAGAGAATTGCTTGAGCCCGAGTTTGAGGTTGCTATAGCTATTACACTACGGTACTCTACCCAGGGCAACATAGTGAGACTGTCTCCAAAAAAAAAAAAAGCCTTTACTGACTTCCCACCTCATTCAGAATCAGAGCCAAAGCCCTGATACTGGGAGCCAAGTGCGGTGGCTCATGCCTGTAATCCCAGCACTCTGGGAGGCCAAAGGGGGTCGATTACCTAAGCTCAGAAGTTTGAGACCAGCCTGAGCAAGAGCAAGACCCTGTTTCTAAAAATAGCCAGGCACTGTGTGGGTGCCTGTAGTCCCAGCTACTTCGGAGGCTGAGGCAAGAGAATTGCCTAAGCCCAAGAGTTTGCTATGAGCTGTAATGCCAGGGCACTCTACCGAGGACAACAAAGTGAGTCTATATCAAAAAAGAAAAAAAATAAAAAAAAAGACCTAATACTGGACTATAAGACCTCTTGATGTGGCGCTCCCCTACTTTTACCCAGAGCACATCTCTCATCTCCCTGTGGCTGTTGCTCAAACATGACCACCATAATCTTACCTCAGAGCCTTTGCTCTTGACATTCTTTCTGTCTGAAATGGTCTTCTCCTAGACATCAGCATGTGTGCTTTCAGTTTCTCTAGGTCTCTATTCAAAGGCTACCTTATAAAAACTGATTTCCGGCTCGGTGCCTATAGCTCAACCGGCTAAGGCGCCAGCCACGTACACCTAAGGTGGCGGGTTCGAATCCCCAGCCCGGGCCCGCCAAACAACAATGACGGCTGCAACCAAAAAATAGCCGGGCGTTGTGGCGGGCGCCTGTGGTCCCAGCTACTTGGGAGGCTGAGGCATGAGACTCGCTTGAGCCCAGGAGTTGGAGGTTGCTGAGAGCTGTAATTCCATGGCACTCTACCTAGGGGGATAGCTTGAGGCTCTGTCTCAAAAAAAAAAAAAAACTGATTTCCCAGGCCATCCCTACAAAAGCAAGAAACTTAGTATGACTCCTAACCTTTCTACTTTCCTTACTCCTGAAGTCTCTCACACTGGCTTGTTAAGAACTGGCCACAGAGCTTTACTCCCTATATGCAGAAAAAAGATTCTTCTATGAAACTTTGTTTATTTATTTATTTATTTATTTATGAGACAGAGTCTCAAGCTGTTGTCCTGGGTAGACTGCTGTGGAGTCACAGCTCAAAGCAACCTCCAACTCTTGGGCTTAAGCAATTCTCTTGCCTTAGCCTCCCAAGTACCTGGGACTACAGGTGCCCAACACAACGCCCGCCTATTTTTGTTGTTGTTGCAGTTGTCATTGTTGTTTTAGCTGGCCCAGGACGGGTTCAAACCTACCAGCCTAGGTGTATCTGCCTGGCGCTCTATCCACTGAGGTATGGGCACCACCCATCTTCCATGAAACTTTGGAACTGGGCCATACAGAAGGAAGTGAGTGGTAGGTGAGCACTTACAGCTGCTGCCCAAATCTGGCATCACCACCTGAACTCCGCCTCTGTCTCCCCCACACCCCTACCCCTCTCTATGAGAAAACTGTCCTCTGTGAAACTGGTCCATGGTACCAGAAAGCTTGAACACTGACTTACTCCTTTTTATTTCCACAACACTTATCATCATCTGGCATATTACATATTTTCTTATGTTCTTTCCCTTCCATCAGAACATAATCTCTTTAAGGCAATTTGTTTTGTTTAGTATTCTAATCCCAATGCCTAGAATAATTAATGCCTGACACATAGTGGGCATACAAATTTTCTCTAAATGAATTAATGTCATATTATACACCTTTAAAATCATATTTCTAGGTTTTTATTTTATTTTGTAAGAAAACTTTTAAGTCTATGTCTATCATTAAGGACTCCAGCTTGGTATCCTCATATACCTGATAACGAATGTTCTAACTCTGACCTCTACATATGCGATATTTGAGGAAGAGCAATGATATGGACAAGGAAGCCTCACCGAAGCAAACGTGTTTGCTGCCTTTTCCGGATAGAAGGATTAGACTCAAACACATGAGGCCGTTTCCGTTTCTTTCCTGTTGCCACAGCAGCAGCAGCAGCCATTCCCACAGGACCTGAAATAACAATGTATGTGGCTGAGATTAGACAGAAAACTGTTAACTGTATGAGACAGAAAACAGAGGTACAAAAATGGTGGCATTTCTTACCTAATATGTTGTCAGTAAATATAAAACATTCTTGATATTATCAATATACTTTACTATTGTTTAACACAAATCATATTATAACTCACCTTTTAAAAAAGGTAATCTTTAAAATCTTTTTAAAAAGCACATGACTTATACCTCCCCACCATATACTAGCTTGAATTTTGCATATGTTGTTTTTGTTTGGGTTTGTTTTGCCAGCATGCCCATTCTGTTAAGGCAATATTCTCAGAGATGCTAGGCAAAACTGCAGCACTGAGATGAAAACCTTGCCAAAACTGAAAAAATTTACAGATTTCAGTATTCATTTCGATCCTTATGCCCCTGTTTCCATTACTCCAAGACACCGCCAACTCAGGGCAATTGGAGATAAGTAGTCACACTTGGAAATCCAACAATAACCCTGTAAGAGGTATGAGGAACAATAGCACCTTAGTTGGAAAACTACTTGTATATCTGGGAATTGTACCAAAAGTGGAGATGTTGACCACAAGGTCAAATTGATGAAACATCCTCACAGAAAAGAGATAAAATTTTTCCCACTCTGAGAAAATATTAATACAATTTGATCTGGCTTACCCTGATACTAACATATAATATTTTGTTTTATTTTTTGAAGGGTTGATAAAGGATAGACTCCAAGGAATTACTGAAGTCTCTGATTCCTGGGATCTCAATAAATCAAAAGCAATCTTTTTTTTTTTTTAAAGTTCCACCTTCAAAATCCTTATTTGTGAATTCTGTAAAAGGCTTAAATAAAAATTATGTTTAATTGCTCACATTTATACTGGCATATATATTCTAAGTGGCTTAAATAAAACAAGCCTCCCTATAAACCTAGATGAGCTTCTTTACATGTTGTTTAGTGCTATAATCAGTCTGACTTAAGTAAACTCCCCTAAAGAGCCCCAAAGTAGAGAAAAAATAATGACTGCTTTTTACCTTTCCATCAAAAGCAGCTAGTACAGACAAATAATCTTATCGTTGAATTTTTTTCCAACATTTTATTTTATTTTGAAAAATTTGGGGGCAGTGCCTGTGGCTCAATAGATAAGATGCTGGCCCCATATACCGAGGGTGGTGGGTTTGAACCTGGCCCTGGCCAAACTGCAACAAAAAATAGCTGGGTGTTGTGGCAGGTACCTGTAGTCCCAGCTTCTTGGGAGGCTGAGGCAAGAGAATTGCCTAAGCCCAGGAGTTGGAGATTGAATATGACAACATGGCACTCTACTGAGGGTGACAAAATAAAACTCTTGTCTCAAAAATAAATAAATAAATAAATAAAAGAAAAATTTTGGTAAGACTTAACCTGATACCTACCCTTTTAACAAATTTTTAAGTCTACAATACAGTATTGTTAACTATAAACACAAAGCATAGGAGATACCTAGAACTCATTCACCTTGCATAACTAAAATTTTGTATTTGTTGAACAGCAACTCCTCACTACCCCTTCCCTCAGGCCCTGGCAACCATCATTCTATGCTCTGGTTCTATGAGTTCAACTATTTCAGATATCTCATATAAATGGAATCATGCAGTATTTGTCCTTCTATAATGGGTTTATTCATATCAGTATAATGCCTCTAAGGTTCATCTATGTTTTCATATATGGCAAGACTTTCTTAAGGCTGAATAATGTGCCATTATATGTATATATCACACATTCTTTAGCCATTCATCCATCAATGGACAGATAGGTTGTTTTCACATCTTGGCTATTGTGAATTAATCCAACAATGAACACGAGTACAAATATCTCTTTGGGATCCTGATTTCAATGTTTTTTGTTTTTGTTTTTTTTGATAAATACCCAGAAGTAAGACTGTTGGATAATACGGTAGTTCTATTTTTAACATTTTTTTTTTTTTTGGAGACAGAGTCTTAAGCTGTTGCCCTGCGTAGAGTGCCGTGGCATCACAGCTCACAGCAACCTCAAACTCTTGGGCTTAAACGATTCTCTTGCCTCAGCCTTCCAAGTAGCTGGGACTACAGGCACCCACCACAACACTTGACTATTTTTTTGTTGTAGTTGTCATTGTTGTTTTAGCTGGCCCTGGGGCAGGTTCAAACCTGCCAACCTTGGTGTGTGTGGCCGGTGCCCCACCCACTGAGCTATGGGTGCCACCCTATATTTAATTTTTTGAGGAACCTCCAAGCTGTTTTCCATAGCAGCTGCAATGTATTACATTCCTACCAACAGTGCAAAAGGATTCCAACTGCTCCACGATCTCACTAACACTAATTATCTTCTATATAATCAGGTATATATACTCAAGTGTTCAACACATTAAAATATATATATATATATATACACACACCTACAAAACCCAATCTCCATCACGATACACAGCAACACTATCACTCCACAGAGTCCTCTCATGCCTCTTCCCAGCTAATTCCCATTCTTAACTCCCAAAGTTATCTACTATTCTGATTTTTTCATCCATTAGTTTGCCTATTCTAGAATGTCAAATAAATAAAATCATATAGTATATACTCTTTTGTGTAAACTTTCTTCCACTTAGAATGTTTTTGACTTCCCAATGCTGTTGTAGGTAACAGCAGTTTGTTCCTTTTTAGTGCTCGGCCCCTAAAGCTGTTTCGATAATTTATAAATTCAATACCATTCTGGCCAGGCACAAGGGCTTATATCTATAATCCTAGCACTCCAGGAGGCTGAGGTGGATGGATTGTCTGAGTTCAGGAGTTTGAGACCAGTATGAGCTAGAGCAAGACTCTGTCTCCAAAAAATAACGGGGCATTGTGGCAGGCACCTGTAGTTCAGCTACTGGAAGGCTCAGATGAGAGAATTGCTTGAGTCCAAGAGTTTCAGGTTGGCTCGGCGCCTGTGGCTCAAGTGGCTAAGGCGCCAGCCACATACACCTAAGGTGGCGGGTTCGAATC